CAGTTATTCATGTTGATGAAAACACGTGAAAACACAAAAATTTCATTCAATTTTACCGGATCTAAAATATTAGAATAATTTATTTTTATTGAAACAATTTTTTTTTCGAGTTCAAAACAGTCAATAACAGTATACCCAACGTGTAAGCTTTTGAATACTATTGGTATACAACGGTTGTATTACATGTTCTTGCACCAGTTGGCGCTTCTGGGCTCATTTATATGAGAACTGTCAAGAAGGCGCAATGTCGATACGGATATAAACCATATCCGTGACTCTCACGGATACGGATAAAATTTGTATCCGTGGAAGTCATGACAGTGAGCCATTTTTATTTGTTAATAGAAAAAGGATATTTACTTCCAGAGCATCTCCTTCGAGCACGCTTTGAACTGGTAAATATCCAAGACGTGAATGCTTCTTGAAGTACTTGCTGCTCTTGAACTTATTCTTGAGAGCTCGAGTAAAATCACGCACATCTTCAGTGGAAGTGGCCTATAAAGGTAAATTGTTCATTTCAATAATTTACTTCCAAATTTTTGTTAAAATCAAGCAATTGAAATTCAACGGAAAACTAAAAACCTACAGTGGTGCAGTATTCATGCATCGGATGACTGAGTTTATGATTTTTTCCACTGCGGCCAAAGAAGAAGCACGCCTGACACATATCGAAATTAAAGCATTTCAAGCAACGGTAACGGAAACCCACAACTGGATATTCTACATTAGGATCGTATGAATTAGAAATTTGATAATATATAAAAATTATTGTAAAAAAATCTTACAAACCTTTGCATATATTACATTTCGCCTGATGTTTGGCAGCTGAAAATGATGAAATCAAATGAGTAAATAATACTAAAATAATCAAACAATTTAATTTTCAAAGTTCAAAATAAGAAATTAGTTCGATGGAATACTGTATTAGCTATTAAATAAATGAAAAAAACGTTAGTTTACTTCTTATTCTAATACAAGTTCATTTTTAAATCGTCAACATTTTCGAGACACTTGTCTCGGCGACGAACATGACTGATGTTGTTTTACAAAAGTTGTCATATGGATACTTGATTTTATGTGAAAATAAATCGTCAAAAAGAAATACTATGTTTTATGTTGATAATGTAAATCTACATTTAATTGAGCTCCGCATACAAATACTTTCTTTCTAAAATTTAATTTATTATTCATTGAAGTAAAGACATTAATTTAATTTATTTTCGACCAATAAATCGTTCTGAAGCAGTAAGGAAGTTGAAGTTTACTGAAAAAATCAAGTTTAAATTAATAAATTCGATAATCGTAACACCGTAACCTCACACTCAGTGATTTGCAATTGTGAATAGAAGAAAGAATATATGCTAACCTCAAACTGAAATACAGTAAACAGACATAGCCGCAGCAGAAGTATTTCATCCGATTGTTAAACTGCAAAACTTAGTCACAATGCCACCAAAAAATTTGAACAAAGTGAAAACACAACGAGCCGCATCAGTTGACAGTAGCCGTTCAATTCGTTCAACGATTCGTTCATTATCATCACATGCTGAATCGTATTTGCTGAACAGTGACGACGAAGATGCCGTGAAAAAATTGGAATGAATGTCAACACAAGCAGAAAATGCACCAAACGGTGAATTGAAGGAATTGGTGTTGGAATGATTTATTATTATTATTCTGCACCGTACAGCGTTTCTTCGCCAAAGGTGGTTTATTTAGTATAAATATTATTTTATATTTACAACATTTACAATTTGATAATTTAAATATTTCATTTTACTCTCTCCAAATTCTGCTTCTTTCAAAATATTCGGTAACTCTATGTTTGACAGTATTTGTATTTGTGTTAAAATCAATCAAATAAGTATCACAATTTGGAATCGTAGTAACATTGCATTCATTAGGTAGATTAGGCGGTTTGATAGGAACAAAATATTTATAAAATTCATTGTATGTCATCAGCATATAATTTATAGGCTCGAACTTTGAGTAATCATGATGCCTAGAGGTGTCAACGGACAAAATTTTGTCCGTCCGTCCGTCCGAATTTTTTTTAAAAAAGTTCGGACGTCCGATCCGAATGTCCGAAAACCAAAATTTTTTTTCGGACGTCCGGCCCGAATGTCCGAAAACCGAAAATAATTTTCGGACGTCCGGTCCGAATGTCCGAATTTTTTTTCGGACGGACGGACGGACAAGGGGTTTTGTCCGAACTTTTTGAAATTTCTCGACTAGCGTGGATCAAGCGTTTTGGAAGAGATTTCAATGACCCGTGGACCATAAAGAAGCTCTTCTTTACGTTCGTTTTGCCAATCGTTGAATATGCATCGCAAATATGGAACCCACACACCAATGAGAAAATTGCTAGAATCGAATCAGTCCAAAAGCAATTTCTACTGTTTGCACTGAGAAAGATGCAATGGCCACACAGATTCATTTTGCCACAATACAACAATCGTCTGCTATTTCTACAAATGATCACCTTGGAGGAACGAAGAAAAATAGCACAAATTTGTTTCATTCACAACGTTATTTGTGGCCAAATATCATCAAATTATATCATGGAAAAAATCAACTTTAGAACGCCACGACATCGAACACGAAACACTGAATTTCTGTCACTGCCGATTAGAATATGCAACTACTCAATGTTTGAACCGATCAATTTCATGTTAACCACATACAATGAATTTTATAAGTATTTTGTCCCTATCAAACCGCCTAATCGATCGAATAAATGTGATACTAGTACTATTCCAGTTTGTGATACCTATTTAATTGATTTTAATGTTAGTACCTGTCAAACAGAGAATAACCGATTATTTTAGAAGAATTAGAACTTGGAGAAACTAAAGAAATAATAAATACATAAAATATTGTAAATATGCAACCAAATATTTATACCAAATAAACCACCTCTGGCGAAGAAACGCTGTATGGTGCAGAATAATAATAATAATAATAACAGGAAATTTGAGTTTCTTGTCCCATGTCGCGATGTTCTAATATTTATTTTGCTCAAAATGTGTTTAGATGATGTATGTCCATTTAGTTGTCATTTTGTTTACTTTAATACCTCTAACATTGTTTAACCGTTTGTCTGTAATAAGTTGAAAGTTACAAATGCTGCAATGTGGGGTCATATGGACCCCAACAAAAAATCGATAAAAATGGAACAAAAATAATTTTTTTCTCAAAAATATCGTTTTGATCTAATAATTTAAGGCATTCTTCATCTTTTAAATCTATTTTTGTCAATATTGACCCAAAAATTACTTAGATATGATGATTATAAAAACATTGTACTAGTCCGCCATGTTGAATCATTTGGCAGTTACACATTTTTGACGTTATTTTGCTTCATTTTCAAAAAATCTATGAATATTTGTGAAAAAAAAGTTTGTTTTTTGAAAGGGCGTATCAAAAGGAATAAAATAAGTATAATGTCGAGTTGATGTGAGCTATACATGGAAAAATATGGACCAATAAGATGTAATAATTCGATAAAAACTGGAATTTCATCAATTTAGGTGCCATTTGGAAGTGATCAAAACAATGAAACTACTTGTCGTATCTGAACAAAATATGGCTCAAAATGAAGATAAAACTTCAAATTTTAAAAATATTATTGATTTAATGAGATAAAATAAGATTTTAGCAATAATATGGGCACTTTAATTTGGGGTCCATATGACCCAATCTTACAGCATTTGTCAAGTCAGAATATCTCGGGTTTTTATGGACCGATTTTGACAAATAAGTGCTCAAAATGCGTGTTTCAACTAGATTGAAGATGTCAATAAATCATAACATCATACAACTTGAAACTAAAAAGTTATAGCGAATTTAGAGTATCTGGGGTCATATAGACCCCACATTACAGACAAACGGTTAAATAAATCAAAAATATCACACAACTATTTCAGTGTTTCATTAAAAAAAAGTATATCTGAAAACAAGTTTTAACAAAATGGATTCAAAAAATGGAATTGAAAAGTTAAACAACTCAAATTATTTTTCGTGGAAATATAAAATGCAAATGCTTCTCAAGAAAGAAGACTTATGGCAAGTACAGTGTTGTCGGAAAGAAGAAATAATTTATCTAAATGAAGATAAGATAATCCAACTATTTTTCAAAATTTATCTAGATAAAGATAAGATATTATCTTATCTTAATGAAAAAAGATAAAATACACTGCCAGCCTCCGGCCGTAGGGGCTTAATGTGAAACGTGCGTAGAACTCGGGCTGGAACCTAATTCGGGTGGGTCATAAGAACCGGGAATGAAAAATGATGGCCCCAACTTCGACTTACATCATTTCTCCCAATTTCGACTTCAAATCGATACACTAGAGCTACCCCAAAATCATCATCAATCCCCAACAGATATATACCGTTTGAAAGGTCTTTTCATAGGGTATCCAAAACCGTTTGGGACGTTTGTGGTTTCCATACCTAGACACCCCAGATATATGTCTGTAATTCAACTTATATCACTTTGTAATAATCATATAAGCCATATACCAATGGATAGGGCATGTCCCAGCCCATCATCTGGCAAAGTTTCATCAAAGTCCAACGTCCAGTTTCCCCGTAATAGGGCTTCAAAATTGAATTTCCAATACTATTCTCTAATTTTCTTCATTACGACTTCAAATCGATACACTAGAGGTACTGGCTCACATGAATGAATTTGTTAGTTTAATTCAAAAATTAACAGATTCAGGAGGACAGCCTGACGAGGAATGGAAAATTGGAATGTTGTTCTCCAGTATGCCTACAGCTGGTAGGCGTTTTTTGACTTGTTTTTCGATCATGGATTTTTTGTAACCGTTTGTTTCAGCTAATTTCAGTATGAAATTGTATTCTTTCTGGAAATTGCTTATCAATAACGGCAACACACACATACGATGAATCATCGAATGGAAGGCGGCAAGTTTGTGTTGTTGAGAGCAGTGAGAATCAGCTGCTATGTATCGGTTGGTTGATGTTGGCTTGCGATATACAGCGAATTCAAGTTTGTTCTCAAGTGTGCGTGTGATGGTTAAATCCAGAAAATTCAGTGAACGGGTGTCTGGATTTTCTTCTTCTTTGGTGAATTTGACCGTTTCAAATTGTGAGTTGATTGAATCAAGCAAATTTTGAATTTCGGTTTTTTTAATGACAGCAAACACATCGTCGACGTATCTCAACTAAACTTTCGGCAGAATACCTAATGATTTGATTTTCGACTCGAAGTGAGACATGAATGCTTCAGCAATTAATGGTGAAAGTGGGTTGCCCATTGATGTGTCTTGCTTGCTGTGATAAAATTCGTTGCGAAATTGAAAGCAATTGTATGCCATACATGTTGTTGCTGTGTCGATGTAAACGTCCAGCTTGTCTTGCGTGACGTTTTTTTGCTGTAGGTGGTTTTTCAGCGATTCGATTGCAATGTCCACGGGCACACTTGGGAAGAGAGCTGTGACGTCGAATGAAATTAAAATTTCGTCTTCTTGTAAATCGATGTTTTTGATTCTGTCTACAAATTCAGTGGAGTTCTCAACTGAATTGCTTTCGAATTCCCCGTATTGCTTCAGTTCCTTCACCGGCCATCGTGCAATTTTAACAAACGGTGATTTTATGCTTGATACGATTTTTCTCATTTTTTCTCCTGGTTTGTGTTGTTTGCAGAGTCCGTACATCATAGGTACTTCTTCGTTCGGTACTTTCAACATGTAGTAAGGAACTTGGAATACTTTCATGATTGAGTCTCTGAGTTTTTTGGCATCTTTGTACATTCGCGATAGTGGAGAAAATCTGGTTTTGATAAAATTCTCTTCAGCTATCGATTCAATCATCCGTCGATCATAATCTTCCTTCTTCAGTATTACGATTTTGTTTCCTTTGTCCGATTTGGTGTAGAATACATTTCTTTTTCGCAGACTGTTCAATGCGTTGTTCCATTTGTTGTTGTTGTTCGTTGTGTTGATGGATTTTAACACCTCGTCTGCTTTTTTCCTAATTCGCGCTTTGACGCCAAACGGTTTGTAGTGAATGGCTGACTCAATAGCATCGTTGATTTGAATTACATCGTTGATTTGAATTATATCAAATAAACCACTTCTGGCGAAGAAACGCTGTATGGTGCAGAATAATGATTAAAACTTCGTACTTGTCCTGTAAAAGCACCCGGCAATATTCTGTCAATTTTTCTATGTAAAACATTGAGTGTGAAATAGTAGA